ACCGGGACCGAAATATGGGTGTCGGAACGCAAAGGACGACGGCCGCGCACCCCGCCAGCCGGTCCCGCACCCTCCTCAACACTGGCAGATGCCATCTTTCGTTTGGCGTTACAGCCCGCACTCATCACCGCCATCCGCGCTGGCCTCACCGGCCCACTCCACCCCATCGCCCAACAGGCCCGCACCCTTCTATGGGAGACCAGCCCCGACACGTACACTACCGCCGACACGCGCTTTCTTCAGGACTGGCAACGTGCAGATAACCTGCTGTGGCACCGTTTTTCAGTCTCCGAAGACCTTTGGCGCCTTTACGTGCCCCCTGCTTGCACCCCTGAGGTGCGCAAGCTTTTTCACGAGGGGGGAGGACACTTCGGATTCGAAAGAACCTACGCTAGAGCTGCAGCGCAAGTCTGGTGGCCGAAAATGGCACAAGATTTCAGAAAACACTGCGCAGGATGTGAAACCTGTCAACGCTCAAAAAGGGTACCGCAACTGATTCCGGGGTTGCTGAAACCCATACCACCAGCTCCGGGACGCTGGACAGTCATCACGACTGACTTCGTAACCAAGCTCCCACTTACTTCCAGAGGGTACGACGCCTTTTGGTTAATAGCATGTAAATGCTCAAAGAGGATCCACGTATGGCCCCTCAAGAGCACTGCGACAGCTATTCAGGTCGCGGAACTCTTTATAGAGCGCTACGTCCCATTGCACGGCATCCCGGAGACCATTATCTCGGACCGCGACTCCAAATTTACGAGTCGATTTTGGCAGGAGGTCTGCAAAAACCTAAAGATTAATCAAGAGCTCACCACAGCCTACCACCCTCAAGGTGATGGACAATCAGAAAGAGACAACGCAACGGTCTTGCAGGTCCTTACCACAATGGTCAACACCCGATTAGACGACTGGGACACCTTTCTTCCGGTTGCGGAATTCATTATCAACGATACGGTACACGAGGCGACAAAAATGACGCGATTCAGAATGGACCTAGGCTATGAGCCCCACAATCCACTGGCGGACATCGTCGAAAGGCCGTCAGAAACCAGAAATGCAGATGCGGAGGAGCTCTGTAAACACCTCGGCGACCTAAACATCCTTATCCGAGATCTGATGATCGAAGCCCAGGATTCGCAGAAAAGATATTACGATTTATCGCGACGACATTTGGAGTTCCGGAGAGGAGATAAGGTGCTTCTGAGCACGAAAAACCTAGCAGGGTATGAGTCCAAGATCGCTCCGAAATGGCTGGGACCAGTCACGGTGACCGACTGTAACCCTCTCCGCGACAACTACGAGTTAAAACTGCCAGACAAGATGAGACGACTTCATCCATGGTTTCACATATCGAAATTACGTCCGTACCAGAAGCCTGTCGACGCCGAAACTGAGGAAAAGGTCGCGGAAGCACAAGCGGAGGATTCCGACGCTTCAGATGGCGAGTTTGAAGTGGAAGCGATAGTAGACCATCGAACCAGGCGCGGAAAACGTCAATTTCGAATACGTTGGTCCGGATACCCACCCCATGAGGATACCTGGGAACCAGAGGAAGCCCTAACAGAGGCTTCCGAAGCCTTAGAAGAGTACTGGAGATCCAGAGCTCCCACTAGCGCGCTAGTAGAGGACTCTTTGGTAGTCAGCCTTGCAGGCGACGCCCCGGAAGATACGGCTTATGCTTCCGACCACCAATGCTTCGCGGTTTATCCGGACGATAGCTCACGTGATAATCACGCCCTCTCACCAGAAAGAAAACCAGTTTCGCGTGGCTTACCTCACCAGTCGAGAACGCCACACCAAGCCTCCCGATCACGCTTACGCGCGTCCGAGCTGTCAAAATCAGCCGGCGACGACCTTAAAAGGACGCCCCTGCACGCTCCCCCTCTTTTTTCTTCTTCAACCGCCCACGACCTACTTCCCTTACACACTCACTCTGCTTCGCAAACCCCTTCTATCGACACCGAAACTAAAACTTCCATTTCTAACACAATGAACACCGATCTCAGAGGACAAGCAGGAGTGAGCGTACCTTCCACGTACATGTCCGGCTACCCTTGGGAGGAAGACTCGGGCGACTTCGAGGCCGAGGGCATGCTGGATCGCCTTGGGGTTGCGATCGCTACCTGGGTTCACTCCTGGGTTCATCAGCTTCGGACCAACCCCAACGCGCCGCTGCAGACTCCAGGGCATGAGTTTTGGCTGGGAGTCGACGCTCCGAAACCTTACGCGGTGGGCCAGCCCCTCACAAACCACATCGCGGACCCCTACAGCAAGGCCACCGATGGTGGTGAAGCAGCGGTCGGAATAGTTGCCGACGCGAAAAAACCCGGAAAAAGAGGGCGCCCAGCTCCGTGCGCCGCTTGGCTCGACCGCGGGGTTCCCCAACACGAGGCGGGAAGCCGAAAAACGGCTCCGTTCACCGATTGGCCGAACGACGACGCCCACGAGTTTGCGTCCGCCGTCATTGAAGCAGCTAGGACGGTGCTCCTAAGGACGGCGAACGCAGCGGAAGCCTCTGCAAGGCTCACCAGACCCCGACATCACGAGCACGCGGAGTACCATTTCCGCGCGACAAACCTGAAAAGGGCCGCGGAGACCTTTACGGCCCTCTACGTAACCAGAACTGGCCCCGACGTGACCCCGGGTACCATCGTTCGTACCGCAACAGATCAAATCTGGTTTTGTTGCAACGTCGGTGGCCGTGCCAGTATCATCTGGGTCGTGAACCAAGATGCAGATGAAGCGGACCCCACAGATCCGGTACCGACCTGGTAATTGACGTCCCAACACCCCCGCTCGGAGCGCCGGTGTGTTGGCTCTTCAAAGGGGGGATGTAACGACGAGGACGTCTTCGAGAGATCGCGAGTAAGCCCAAATCGGACGCGGGAAGCACGAATCGCGTGACCAACTCCACCGATTGGGTTACCGCGACCGAAAAAACCGGTTCGGAGAATGGCAATTGGCGCATTAGATTTCAGCGTGCCTCGTACAACCTGTGGAGGCCCGAGCCAGTGCGGAAAAGGAAGAGATCGGTACCGCCACCAATAAATCAGTTGCGGTGCAGCGACACCCATTAGTTTAGTTTAGTTTAACAGTTTATCCAAGAATCTTGTATAAAAAGGAGGTATTCAATAAAATAAGTCGGGGGCAGAAGCCGTAGCGACACAAAATCCCCATAACTCGCTTCTCAACTCCAATCTTAGGTTAACAGGAACCTAACAGAGCGCTTCAACGGCCTGATCACCCGTACCGAAGCCTCTAAATCCTGCTCGGTTCACAACTAACCGACTCTCCTTGCCTCTCGCCCCCAAGTCGCTACCGACGCCCAAAGAAAGGATTTGGAGACTACGATTCCTAGTACGGACACCCACACAACCTGCTAGGAGACCCAAGTTGTCTTTACCGTAGTCTACCAACAAAAAATCCGCTACAACTCGGTGAGAAATGTTAGAACTTCTTTATCATCTTTGTAGGCGGAAGCAAGTAACTTTGCTGAAAGTTTCATGTCCTCTGCATTGTTTTTAAACACCACCCACTCAGTGGTGCAGTTCTTCATTTTACATGAAAGTTGTCCGGTTACACTCTGGATGGCTACAATATTTCCTATATTGAAATGCCTCCCTTTTGTATAGAGTTTCGATAACTCCTTGTTGAGTTCTTTACTTTGCGCAGAATCACCAGCGTCGTCAATGAATAATAGAAGTGACTTCTCAGGCGTTTTCTTCTGTTCTTCTACTATTTTAGCGATGGATGCATTGGAAACCTCGTCTGTAAAGTAGATATTTTTATGTTTTGTGGTTTCGGCCAGTACCTTCACAGAAGCATCATATTCAACTGTGTCGGACATGATAATGACTCGATCGTGTAATTTAGCATAGACATCCTCAATCAGACCGCAGACTAATGCACTTTTACCACTTTTCCTCGGAGCGACAAGAGTTGTACATAGAGGCAGTGATGCCAGGTCACGTGGAACACGAGGATCTCTCTTCTTTTTCCCTACGGGAAAGATTGGGCGTGGTTTATAGGACATTTAAATTTTCCTTTGTCTTTACATAAAGGTAAGGAAATATCATGATTAACGAAGTGACATACTGCTCCTTAAAGTCTCGATCATTCTCAATACCTCCTCGGAGGATGGAAATGATGAAGGTTCTCTCGGTTTCTTTCCTTCAAGATTGGGATCTGGTCAACGATTCTAATAACACGATTAATTTTGTTGAAGAAGGCGATCCAACCATCTTATCTGCGAAAATACCTAATGGTAACTACAGCATAGCAAATTTTCCAAATGCCATTGCTCAAGCGTTGAGTTCAGCCGGGACACAAGCCTACAATGCCACATACAACTCTGTTATGAGGAGATTGACACTTTCCACATCTGGTAGCAAGAACTTCAAGGTTCTTGCCGCTTCGAGAGGAACATCCTCTTATCTTCTAACAGGAATGTCAAGATGGAGTGAAACGGGATATTACAAGACTATCACACTGAAGAATGCTGTCAATTTGTCCGGTTCGTATCCAATGCTTGTCACAAGCAACATCCAAGTCCAAGGAAGCCGTTTCCTCAGTGACTTCAATGATTCCGCCCAATCCGTAATTGCTGCGGTTGTCCCTGATAGTTTCGGCGATGTAGTCACGTGGACTAACGACAGAGGTGAATGGCTCCCTGTTGATGACACTATCTCCAAAATCGAATTC